ACTCCAGTCTGGGCAACAGAGTGAGACTCCAACTCAAAAAAAAAAACCAAACTGAATAGGCTTTTGGTCTATTTGCCAGGCACTATTACAGGTGCCAGGGATACAGCAGTGAACAAAACAGTTAAAAAATAATGACCTGAAAGGGGAAGTTGACAGCAAGAGATACAAAGAAAATATGTTTGGTGGAGATTAGTGCTATAAAGGAAGAAGTAAGGCAGGAAAAGGAGACGCGGGGTGGGGGGGAGAGGTGGGTTGCCACTGGGCAAGGAAGGCCTCACTGAGAAGGCGACACTTGAGCCTGAGAAGCAAAGGAGCCATGTGGACACTGGGGGAAGAGATTTTTGAGTAGAAGGAAAAGCACCTGCAGAAGCACATTCAGAAGCAAGAAGGCCGGCATAGTGAGGAGAAACGGACAGGGCGAGGCAGTAACAAAGCCAGAGATGCGACAAGGGCAGCCAGCCCGCTAGAAGGTTCAGAGCTTTTTTTGCTAAGGAAGACAGGAAGCCATTGAAGGGTCTTAAGTAGAGGGATGAAATGATCCAATATAATTTCAGGGGAATCACTCTGGATGCTGGGAGGAGAAACCAGGGTGAGACAGAGGCAGGAATAAGACCTTAGTAAGCAGGTGAGTCAGGTGTGGGTGAAATCGCCTAGACCAGGAAGACAGTGGCAGTGGAGATGAAAAGTGGCCAGACTCTTTTTATCTTGACATGGCTACCAGATCTGCTGATGGATTAGAGTCATGAAAAACAGTGAAGAGAGGGAATGACCCCAAGACTTTTGGTCTGAGCAATCAGAAAGATGGAATTGGCATTTACTGAGATAAATGGGTCTGAAAGGGCAGCTTTGGGAGGAAAGATCAGATGTTCAGTTTCAGGCATAAGGTGGAAATGCCTTACAGATATTTACAAGAAGATATGGAGTAGACAGATTCAAAAAAAATCTGGTATTCAGGGAATGGTCCAGGCTAGAGATATACATTTGGGGCATGGTATTTAGAACCATAAAACCGTATAAGAGAATTGAGCCCCGTGGCAGAGGGGACAGAAGCACAGACGAGGAAGGCATAGCAAGGCAGAAGCAGGTGCAGGGAGAAGGAGGTCATGGCATGAGGAGATGGCTGATACGGCTGGGAGAATGGACACACTGAGTAAGTAAATCACCTGAGCAATTCAATAAACAGATTAAGGAGAATGGGAGCCAGATTTCACATCAGAATTAAGAGGAAAAAGAAGGGAAAAAGAAAAGTCTAGAAAGAACTGACTAGAACTGAAGGTTAAAGTTTGAACCCATGGTTTGCTAACTAACATGCATGCTCAGGAAGCTCTAGACAAATACTTATACGAATGTGTGTGTGCATGTGTGTGCGTGTATGCACACATGTGCATGCATGTGCATACATATGCTTTGACTGCTAAGGGGGCACCTAGAAGCAATGACACTCCAGGACATGATGAGCACTAAATCTCTCAGATCTTGGTTTCTATTGGCCATTCTCCACTAAAAGGAATCATGGTTCCTTGGAGAAATGGGCATTTCCAGGACTGAGGCAAGGAAAGCACACGATGAACCTGAAACATCTTGTGATGCCAAAGAACAAGGGACTATTTCATGTATGATGAAGACATGCCAAAGGACACAAACACATATGAAAGGACTCCCAGCAACCAAATCAGGACAGCTGGGGCATCAAAATAAATAATGGGCTGGGTATAGTGGCTCAAGCCTGTAATCCCAGCACTTTGGGAGGTTGAGGTGGGAGGATCACTTGAGCCCAGCAAGACCTCACAAAAAAATGCAAAAAAATGCAAAAAATTAGCTGAGTGGGGTGGCGCATGCCTGTAGTCCCAGCTACTCATGAGGCTGAGGCGGAAGGGCTGCCTGACTCCAGGAGGTCAAGGCTGCAGTTAACCATGAATGCACAACTGCACTTAGCCTGGGCAACAGAGTGAGACCCTGATTCAAAAAAAAGATTAAGCCCGCAGGTTCGAGAACCGCCTGGGCAGCGAGACCTCATCTCTGCAATAAATTTTTAAAAAATCAGCCGGACGTGGTAGCGCATGCCTGTAATTCCGGTTACTTGGAAGGCTGAGGCAGAAGGATCACCAGAGCCCAGCAGGCCGAGGCTGTGGTGGCCGGGAGCGACCACTGCACTCCAGTCTGGGTGAGAGTGAGACTCCAACTCAAAAAAAAAAAAAAGATTAAAAAATAACAATAAGAATGAAAGGGCCATATTATGAGACGTTTAATAAAATAAGAAGCCATGAGCCCATGCTGATCTAAATAAATAAGTGAAGGAATGAGGGAGAAGGGAACGCTCCACTTTCTAGGATGATAACTAATAAATATAGAAAAAATTGGCTGAGCACGGTGGCTCAAGTCTGTAATCTCAGCACTTTGGAAAGCTGAGGTGAGAAGATTCCCTGAGCCCACGGGTTCAAGAAAGAATTACAGAAAAAGAGAACCACCACTTGGCAGTCATGATCAAGGTGATAGACTTGAGAGGGTTGTCAACTGCTGCTGAGTCCTGGGAGAGGCACTGCGGCGCTGTGGTGTTCCTACCAATAATGTGCGATCTGTGTTAGGTCACGAGGAAACATCAATCGAGCCCAGATGGAGGAGCATTCCACAGAATGCGACGTCTATTCTAAACACAATCACACTCCCAGATCGGCCCTGGACCAGAAAGGAAAACAGGGAAACAGTTGGGAAATGTAAATGATGTGTTTGGATTAGACAACAGTGTTGTAGCTGTGTTAACATTCTCATTTGGAGGGCTAGTATGGCAGGTATAGAAAAGTCTTCTGGGCTGGGGAAATACACCTGCTAGAGTCATTTAGGTATGATGAGCTGTACCTATGGCTTGCTCTCAAAAGGTTTGGAAAATGAGTTCAGAGATGTCAAGAGAGAAAGAGTGGGTGGTGAGTAAATGTGGTAAAATATTAACTGGGAAAGCTGAGTGAAGGGCTACAGGAACTCATTGTACTCTTCTAGCAACTCTTCTGTAAATTGAAATTATTTCAAAATAAGTTATTTGAGGGGAAAAAGAAATGGCAGTTATAGTGACCTTGACCTTCAAAATTCTGTAACAATTTTTGGCTGGGTACAGTGGCTCATGCCTATAATCCCAGCACTTAGGAAAGCCAAGGCAAGAGGACTGCTTGACTCCAGTTGTTCGAAATCAGCCTGGACAACACAGCGAGACCTCATCTGTACAAAATTTTAAAAATTAGCTGGGCATGGTGGCACATGCCTGCAGTCCCATTACTCAGGAGGCCGAGGTAGAAGGATCGCGTGAACCCAGGAGGTCAAATCTGCTGTGAGTTCCCAGCCTGGGGAACAAGTGAGACTCCAACTCAAAAAAATATATATATATTTTTAAATAATACAGTGTCAAGGAAAACAACCACCTAAGGCACAAGGTAGAACAGGTACCACACCCAGCTGAAAAAATACAAATTATAAAACCAAGAGAATCACCTGAGTCTAGCTTTGATGCATCATTTAGAAATGACACCAACAGGAATATAATGGCCAGAAACAGACTTTGGGATCTGTAAGGACCTCAAGGGGTCAGACGTCCAACCCAAAAGACTCTAAACCTGATGCTTTAAACAAACCCTAGAACCTGAGTAAAAGTTACAAAACAAAATAACTGCATCTTATCCAGAACAAGCACTAAAATAACATACATTGAAATGTAAACAGTGGCTCATAATGGGATAATTACAAGTAACTTATTTTTCATGTTTTCTATACTGTTCCCAATTTATAAAATGAGCCTGTACTTCCTTTATAATCATGGGGTTAGAGGCTGCATTTAAGACATACACATAACTCCACCCATCCTCTGTATTTCTTCACAGACGTTTAATGCCTTTTAACATACCCCATAAACATTTACATAAAAGAGTTTAAAAATTCTACAGAAAAAAGATTTAACTTGTGTAAATGTTCTAAGAATGACTGACATTTAATAAAGAAAAAAACTCAGTCACGTACAGTGACTCACACCTTAACCCCAACACTTTGGGCAGGGGAATTGCTTGAGCCCAAGAGTTTAAAACCTGCCTAGGCAAAATAGCAAGACCTCATCTCTACAAAAAAAAAAATTAAAAATTATCAGAGCGCAGTGGTGCATCCTATAATCCCAACTATTCAGGAAGCAGGAAAAACTGCTTAAGACCAAGAGTTCAAGGCTGCCATGAGTTCATTGCAGTGCAATGATGCCTGCCAGAAGCACATGACCTGAATCTACCCATGAGAAACAGTCTGATAAACCCAAACTGAGGGACATTCTACCAAAAACTTTGGTCTGTAAATACTTTTAAATGTCAAGATCATGAAAGTCAAAGGAAATTCTGAGAAACCATCCCAGAATGAAGGAGACCAAAGAGACATGACAACTGAATTCAACATGTGATTATAAACTAGATCGTAGGCCAGGCACAGTGGCTCATGTCTGTAATCTCAGCACTTTAGGAAGCCAAGGGGGGAAGGGTCATTGAGCCTAGGAGTTCAAGACCACCCTGGACAACACAGTGAGACATCCTCTCTACAAAAAATCAAAAACTTAGCCAGGAGTGGTGGCATATACCTGTAGTCCCAGCTACTCACCAGGCTAAGGCAGAAAGATCACTTGAGCCCAGGAGTTTGAGGCTGTGGTGAGCCATAATCATGACACTGCATGCCAGTCTGGGTGACCGAGTGAGACCCCAACTCAAAAACAAACAAGCCAGGCTCGGTGGCTCAGTCTGTAATCCCGTGCCTTTGGGAGGCTGAGGTGAGTGGATTGCCTGAGCTCGCGGGTTCGAGACCCACCTGGGCAACTTGGTGAGACCTCATCTCTACAATAAATCAAAAAATGAGCCGGGCACGGTAGCGCATGCCTGTGGTTCCAGCTACTTAGAAGGCTGAGGTGGAAGGATCGCCAGAGCCCAGCAGGTCAAGGCTGCGGTGGCCGGAAGCGGCCACTGCACTCCAGTCTGGGTGACTGAGTGAGACTCCAACTCAAAAAGAAATTAAAAAAATAAAATAAATAAAAAATAAACTGTTCCTTTCCTATGACAGTATTGGAACAACTGGTAAAACGTGGAAGTGACCTGAGGTTCAGAATGTGTAGTAACATGGCTTCATTCATTTTTTTCCTGACTTTGACGGTCACTTTGTGGAAATGTAGGAGAATGTCCTTGAGTTTAGCAACTGCATATGTTTGAGGGTATGAGGTATCAGGTTAACAACTTACTCTCTCAGATGGTTCAGAAGAAAAACCTTCTTTCTACTGTTCCTCCAACTTTGCTGTTAGTGACGGTGATATTCACTTACTGTTTCAGGGTCTTCAAGGGCTTCATCCAGTTCTGCATAGGACAAAATGGTGTACCCTTTACAGGCTCGCCACAACATCTTTTCAAATGCTTGAACTTTTCCTTGGTTAATTAGGCCAGACACAAATCTATGAGATAATAAAGTCAATGTTTAGTCAACTGAAAGCAATGAATGTTTCTAAATTGCACTAAAGTATGATGAAGACTTCCATTTCTAGCAAATGGTGAGATATCCTGAAAGGTTTCTAACTGTAACACTTCCAATGCTGTATAAAATATTCTTGAAACATCCTATTAAATGTACAGTTGAGCTTATAATAAAGAGAAATTTTTGAAATCCAAAAAGAAAATAGGTGGTACACCATGGCTCATAATCAGCACTTTGGAAGGCCTAAGTGGGAGGATCACTTGAGGCTAAGGAACTAGAAGCTAATTTTTTTACTTTTCATAGAGATAAGATTTTGCTGTGCTGCCAAGACTGACCTCGAACTCCTGGGCTCAAGCGATCCTCCTACCTCAGCCTTCCAGGGCCTTGGGTTTAATGCCAGCATGGGAGATAGAAGACAGGCACAGGGTCCAGACAAGGTGAGGAGATAGAACTAAATCCCCCTCAAGCTGGAACTTCTTCATGCCCAAAAGGTTATACCTTCATTGAAAAGAAAAAACCCACTTTGCACAGGAGTCCACAAATAAACTTGCTTATTTTAATTTTGGTTCTAGATAAAGAGCGATGTCTTCCCTAAGAATTTTTTTTTTTTCTGAGTCAGAGTCTCATTCTGTCACCCAGGCTACAGGGCAGCAACATGCTCATGGCCACCGCAGCCTCAACTTGCTGGGCTCAGGTGATCAAACCCATGCTAAGAATAATAAATGTTTCCGGGTTGATAAGACTCCTTCCAGGTACTTGACAAACACAAATTCTCCCTAGAGGAATACACCCTCAAACCAAACATCACTGATTCCTTCAGATGAGAAACTGAGGAATACAAGTTCATAATAATTTTAACAATCACAAATCCCAGGAGGAAACAATTTACCATAGTCCCAGTAAGTAGAGCGCATAAACAGCAAAAGAGACCCCTAAAGAGTGATTAATAAAAAATTAACTAACTCAGGCTGGCCCCTGTGTTTCCACCAGGAGGGACTTGATGCAATGACTGATGATTTTCGGTTTCTGGGAGTAACACTTAAAGAAAGAAACACATGTTGCTTCATTCCAACCCATTATACCAAAGAACAAATTTCCATCGTATTTAGCTAAAAAGTCAATACAGTTGAGTAACTCCGTTCAACAAGGACAGGAGCACAGTGTTTCTTAAACAAATATTCACTTTTTTCACTCAATCACAGGCTTTAAAATGGTCCCCATTCAGGCATGATGTGCATGTATTCCCGGTACCAGGGCAGTGTGGAGCTGCTGCTGGGCCTTGTCACCTACCCCAGTTTGGCTCCCAGCCTCTGCATGCAGCTGTAGTCCAACAAGCAATCGTTCTCTAAGGAAGGGAATTCTTCATAAGTGGGCTCAAACTAGAAAGAGACACAGAAAACCAAGTGAGTCTCACTGAAAAGGACAATTCATTTCTCATGCCATATTTCCAAACAAGTTGACAGAGCATCATGACTAACTACTCAGAGCTGGGTGCAAAGGCCCCATGATTTCTGACATATAAATCAGCTCAGATAAATAAAAAGATCATTTCCCCATTTCTTTTTTTGTTTTGTTTTGTTTTTTGTTTGTTTGTTTGTTTTTTGAGTTGGAGTCTCACTCTGTCACCCAGACTGGAGTGCAGTGGCCGTTGCTCCCGGCCACCGCAGCCTCGACCTGCTGGGCTCCGGCGATCCTTCCGCCTCAGCCTTCCAAGTAGCTGGAACTACAGGCGTGCGCTACCACGCCCAGCTCATTTTTTGATTTATTGTAGAGATGAGGTCTCGCCAAGTTGCCCACGCGGGTCTCGAACCCGCGGGCTCAGGCAATACACTCACCTCAGCCTCCCAAAGGCGCGGGATTACAGGCTGAGCTACCAAGCGCGGCTTCCCCATTTCTTATTTGTAAACCACTGGAAGACATTTACATAAAAGAATAGCTAGAATGAGCCGGGCTCGGCTAGAATGTAAGCCATCACCTTCATCCAAGACAGAATAAGTTTATTGGAGATCACTACTACATCAAGTGAACCAAGTCTGGAAGGGATACGCTTTTCTCGTCCATACTCGCCACAGTAAAGTGCTAACCTGTGGACCATTTTTTTTTTGGCGGGGGAGGGAGGTTAGAGTTTCACTCTTGCCCAGGCTGGAGCGCAGGGCATGCTCACGGCTACCAATCTCAACCTGCTTGACTCAGGCGATCCTTCTGCCTCAGTCTTCTAAGTAGTTGGAACTATAGGCATGCACGACCGTGCCTGGCTAGTTTTTTTAATACATTATAGAGACGAGGTCTCATCAAGTTGCCCAGGCTGGTCTTGAACCCCTGTGCTCTGGCAATCTTCTTGCCTTGGCCTCCCAAAGTGCTAGGATGGCAGGCATGAGGCACTGCACCCAGCCTACATTCTTTATTCTTATAAATTATAGGTTAGTTTCCACTTCTTTATTAGCAATTTGGAAAAACTAAATTTTAGAGTTCAACCTCCACTGATTGATTTTTCTTCTTATGATCATAAAAATACATTTTTCAACCACAAACTAAAGCATTTTACAAATATTTAGTATAGTTATTGTAAAACCAACACAGGAAAATACTCGTAAAGCTTTTTTTACTGTCATATAATCCAACTGAAAAATAAAGCCAAGATCTAAATGTCTCTCTTTAAAAGGCAACACATGGCAGGGCTCGGTGGCTCAGCCTGTAATCCCAGTGCTTTGGGAGGCCAATGTGAGTGGATTGCCTGAGCCCACGGGTTCAAGACTCGCCTGGGCAACTTGGAGAGACCTCATCTCTACAATAAATCAAAAATTAGCTGGGCATGGTAGCGCATGCCTGTAGTTCCAGCTACCTGGAAGGCTGAGGCAAAAGGATCACCAGAGCCAGCAGGTCGAGGTTGCAGTGACCAGGAGCGGCCACTGCACTCCAGTCTGGGTGACCGAGTGAGACTCCAACTCAAAAAAAAAAAGGCAATACATGTCAGGCACGGTGGCCCATGCCTATAATCCCAGCACTTTGGGAAACTGAGGTGAGAGGATTGCCTGAGCCCATGGGTTCAAGACCAGCTCGAGCAACTTGGCAAGACCTCATCTCTACAATAAATCAAGGAAAATTAGCCAGGCATGGTGGTGCATGCTTGTAGCTCCAGCTACTTGGAAGGCTGAGATGGAAGGATTGCCTGAGCCCAGCACGTAGAGGATGCAGTGGCTATGAGCATGCCATTGTACTCCAGCCTGAGCAACGGAGTGAGACTACAACTCAAAAAAGAAAAAATAAAAATAAATAGGCAACACATTTATATGAATTAATAATGAAACCCACAACCTTATGGGAATGAGCTTTTTTTCTTTTTTTTTTTTTAGTTGGAGTCTCATTCTGTCACTCAGGCTGAAGTGCAAGGACATGCTCACAGCCACCACAGCCTTGACCTGCTGGGCTCAGGCGATCCTTTTGCCTCAACCTTCCAAGTAGCTGGAACTATAGGCATGCGCCACAAGCCCAATTAATTTTTTTTAATTTATTGTAAAGATGAGGTCTCGCCAAGTTGCCCAGGCTGGTCTTGAACCTGTGGGCTCAGGCAATCTTCTCACCTTAGCCTCCCAAAGTGCTGGGATTATAGGCATGAGCCACCACATCCAGGCTTGGGAAAGAGCTTTTTTTTTTTTTTTTTGAGTTGGAGTATCATTCTGTCGCCCAGACTGGAATGCAGTGGCACACTCCCAGCCACTGCAAACTCAACCTGTTGGGCTCAGGTGACCCAAGTAACCGGAACTACAGACACGTGCTACCATGCCCGGCTAATTTTTTATTTATTGTAGAGATGAGGTCTTGCCAAGTTGCCCAGGTAGGTCTCGAACTCACGGGCTCAGGCAATCCACTCGCCTCGGCCTCCCAAAGTGCTGGAATTACAGGCTGAGCCACCGAGCCCAGCCGGGAATGAGCATTTTATAAAAGAAGTACATTTCCTCACAAGTTGTTCAGTACCTCAACATTGCGCTTCACGAAGGTTTTTGTCACTCTCAGCATGTGGGTATACTCAATCAGTTCCAGCAAGTTTTTCTTCAGTTTCTCCTTGTTCTTTGTGACTTCTCTCAGTTCCACCTCGAGCTTCTGCAACTGCTCCTAAAACAACACAGCAGTTATTTAAGAAAATAAATTCATTCCAAGTGTGGTCCTAATAATCAAAACCAAAAGGTGGTTTAAAAAGCCAGAATGGATTTTAGCTGCACAGATTTTAAAGGCCTACCATTTATTGGTTCATATTAATTTAGGTGATTTCTGTGACATTCACACCACATATGATATAAAATATCCCAGAGGCTGTGATGAACCCAAGATAGTCTCTCTTCTCTAACCTCAGGTATTATCATTTATTTAGGTTTCCTTTGTCTGTTTTTCTATTACCACACATCCATAATTATAGGCAACACATCTGTATGAATTAACAATGAAACCCATAGAAATCTTCCTCTTCAAGTCTACATTTCCTTTTATTTGCAACACAATGTTTAATCTTTTCTAATACATTTTCCTAGCCTCTAGCTCGATGTACTTGCACAATCAATTGCGCATAAAAATTATCATTTTTTTTTTGAGTCAAGGTCTCACTCTGTCACCCAGGCTAGAGAACAGAAGCCCAATCATGGCTCACGGCAGCCTCCACCTCCTGGGCGCAAGGGATCTTCCCACCCTAGTCTTCCAAGTAGCTGAGATTACAGGCATGTACCACCATGCCCAGCTGGATTTTTAAAATTTTTTATAGACATGAGGTCTCACTATGTTGCCTAGGCTGGTCTCAAAATCCTGGACTCAAGCATTCCTTCCACCTCAGCCTTCCAAAGTGCTGGGATAACAGGCATCAGCAACCATACCTGGCTTACATAAAAATCCTTGTGAAAAAAGTCTTCTTAAATAATTACATAATAAGGTCAGAAGTAGTGGCTCACGCTTGTAATCCTAGCACTTTGGGAGGCCAAGGCGAGAGGACTGCCTGATCCCAAGGATTCAAGACCAGTCTGGGTAACATGGCAAGACCTCGTCTCTACAATAAATCAAAAAAATTAGCCTAGCATGGTGGTGTGGACCTATAGCCCCAACTATTGGAAAGCTCAGATGGAAGGATCACCTGAGCCCAGCAAGTCAAGGCTGCGATAGCTGTGATCATGCCACTGCACGACAGCCTAGGCAACAGAGTGAGACTGTGACTCAAAAAAATAACAACAATAACAATAATCAAGCCGGGCTCAGTGGCTCAGCCTGTAATCCCGCGCCTTTAGGAGGCTGAGGTGAGTGGATTGCCTGAGCCCGCGGGTTCGAGACCCGCCTGGGCAACGAGACCTCATCTCTACAATAATCAAAAAATCAGCCGGGCGTGGTAATGCGCGCCTGTAATTCCGGCTACTCGGAAGGCTG